TGCCCAGCCCCGGATGGAGCAAGTGTAGTTGGTAGGGGGGGGGGGGTGGCTAGTAGTAGTAGTAGTAGTAGTAGTAGTAGTAGTAGAAGCAGCAGTAGCAGTGTTAGTAGTCGGTGGTTTGCTGAGGAAATCATCTCGCAGACCTGCTCCATGTTCCTGTCCGACGTCTTGCTGCTGCACAGTGGACTCTAAACTAATTTCAGCAGCTTCAGCAGCGAGCCTAATGAGAGTGCTTTCCACGACCGCCTTGATCTACAGACGTGGTGAACACCACTTCAACGAACATGCATAGGCCATTATGCTTACACTATGCTTACACTCGCTAGAATAGATTTTTTATGAAGAATCGAAGCCACTTAGTCTCTGGGTTTCGAGATTGCTTCCACAGGCCGCTCTCCAATAGAAGTGGTGATTCTTGAAGCATAGAGTCCCAAGAGTAGACGTGCTGAAAGACTTAGACAGATGAGTGGCACGGACGTGCGTGCACCAAGAGATGCTCCAGATGTAAGGCCAAGTGAAGAAGTCAAAGGAAAGGGCTCCAAGCTTTGAAGTCATTCCGTAAACCCTACCGCCCTGACCCTAAACCCTGCTTTCCCAGGAGTGAGTGAGTGGTTTCCCGACCCGGCGGCCAAGTCCGCAGCTCTGCTCGCGGCTCTGCGGAAGGCGCAGGTGCTTCGGTTTTTGCAACAACGGTTTTGACAAAAACGTGAAGCATGCAACCCAGAGGGTAAGCATTTTCTTTAGTCTTGTCGGCATGCCTTGGCTGACAGGCTGTAATGCTTCCACTGGGCCAGCAGTGCCAGCAGTGCAATGTGTCCATGCATGTTTGTGCCGTGACTATCGACTCTGCCAGCAGGCCGTGTCACCACCCTTACGCAGGCGAGACGTGGGTCCAGAGCAGTCTCGGATGCTCAGTCTGTCGGGATCGTCAGAGGTTTGCTGAGCTAGTGGTTGCATTGTTTTGCCAATGTAGGGCGGGGAGTTGCAAAGCCTTTATATGTAGGCCGCAATGCAACATATCATGGCCCCCGTAAGCCACAAGCTGCAAAAGGTGTCGCCGCTTGGGAGGAGAAGTGATAGGTCTAGATATCTAACAAAGCAGCCAAGCTGGGCTACATCCTTCATGTAGCTGAAGTTCGTGGCACACATGTAATGCGGCGCCTGTGTTCACATGCCGGAAGCCATGTCATTTGCAGATATTCCTGTCAATGGAGGAAGCTGTCCGAGAAGATTGCCATGATGATGCTGTATGGTGTTTCCTGGCGAATGAGAACGTGTCTTCCTTCTGTTTTTGTACGGTGCTGAGAAAGCATCTAAGGCCGATAGAGAGATCACCATGGAGTCGACGTGGGCACTGACCTCCATGATGCTCGAGGTGCACAGCTCATGGTTGGACTTTTGCGCTTCATTTCTGATTCTTGTGCAGGTCTTTCATCACCCCGCTGGCAAGCCCAGTGCCGAAGTCGCGGGCTCTGCAAAACTGGACCTAGAGGCAAGCCGAGTGATTCATTCATAAATGTCACACGTCCGAGGTCGGCGATTGTTGAACTGCATGAGCAGGTTTTCTAGTGTTTCTTCTGCATACCTCCAACCCCAAGCATGCTTCGCGGGTGCTGCACTGGCAGGAGGCGGAGGAGGCCTCTTGCAGTGCCGGCTTCGAGGGGGGCCAACCACCCGGGGAAACGGATCTTAGAACATTTTTGTGTTGCAGTCCGGTGCATTCCGAAATGTTTTCTGTTGCATCTCATGTTGTTGAGCATCCTGGGAATCCTCTGTGCAGGCTGCTCATCGTGGGCGACTTCTGTGCTTTTTCGGCACCTCGACTTGAAGCCCCTAAACAGAGGGACCATGCTAGGCTGGTGGGTTCTTCACGGATTTCCAGTTTCCAGCCTTATCCAACGAGGAGAGAGCCAATACGCTTTTAAGACAGGATCAGAAAACAAAGTCACATGGTCTATACGTCAGGCCACGGATGATCTTGTGCACTTTTGGGCCGTAGGCTTTAGATTCTAAACCCTACATCTAGCATTCTAAACCCTAAACGTTCAGTTCCAAACCCTAAACCTAGGTTCCAAACCCTGAACCCCAGGGATCTAAGGCTGTTTGGGCCGCGCTTCTGCCTCCCACGCCGCACGGCTTGGTGCAGCAGCGGAGCTGCTGCTCTCCACGGCATCTCGGCCTGTCCAACAAGTACTTGGTATAGCTTATCAGTATGTATGCATGCATGCGTGTTTGCTTGCATGCATGCACGTAGGTGTGTACGTCGATTTTGACTTAGGGTTTCGGCTTTCTGTGAGTAAGACGAGAGTTGGCTCGTCTTGTTGTGTCAGCAGGGTCGACAGGAGTATGAGGAGGGAGAGGAGCAACGAACCAGAATGCTGCCAGCAGTAAGGTAAAGTGAAAGCAGCATAGCAAGAAAAGACAAAGCAGCAAGTTGTTGCTAAGGTGATAGTAATGCCTCGAGTTTGTAGGCTTTTGTTGATTGTGGCGACAATCACGACCATGGTGAAGCTGAGTCCCCGAAAAAGTAGTCCCTTAGCTCATGATGATGGTGATGATGATGATGATGATGATCACGATGCTGTTGTGATGGTAATGCTGACGATGCTGAATGAAATTGAGAATCCACGCAACGAGCAATATGACCGAAGCCATGGAATTTTATATGTACAACCACGCGTCTCAGTCTCAGTATTATGAGGGGCCATGAAGTCGCCGATGTTTCTTCTCATAATTGCTCTTCTTTTTGTCACTATTGCTCTTACTCCTACTCGCCTTCCTCGCATCGCCACCCTGGCTAAGACTACAAGGGTTGTTCCTAAACAACTGGTACAGCTGTGGTCATTGTTTGATGCTCTCTCATGATTTCTGCGACCGCTCTTCTCGTTCTTTACTGGTTATCCTACTAGTACTAGTACTACTGCTACTACTACTACTACTACTACTACTACTACTACTGCTGCTACTACTACTACTACTACTCCCGCTGCTGCTGCCGGTTCTTCTTCTTCTTCTACTATTACTACTACTACTGCTACTACTACTACTACTACTACTACTACTGCTGCTGCTATTGCTAGTGCTACTGCTACTGCTACTGCTACTTCTATCGCTACTGCTACTACTGCTACTACTACTACTACTACTACTACTACTACTGCTACTACTACTCCTACTACTACTGCTACTACTACTACTACTACTACTACTACTTGAACTACTAGTACTACTATTACT